TTTGAAAAAGATTTTTTGATAATATGTCTAAATTTTTTGACTTCAAGAGTTTGGTCAATTTTAAACTCATTTCTTCTGTTAATTTTAGAAGAAATAACATTGCATTGATGATCAAGTTTTTCAGAGTGAGGAGGAGGAGGAGGAATCATATCTGATAGAGTAGAAGAAGTGGGAGGTTCAACTTCTTCTTCTTCTTTATCAGATTCTTCATTTTGATTAAGTGGTTTTGGGATTTTTGGTTGAAAATTAACACTTTTTATTGAGGAAGTAGAAAATCTGGCTGTTTGAAATGAGATCATCTTAGATCTGTCTTCAGATCTAGACGAATTAAATCTTTGAAAAGTACTTGATTAAGATGATGGTTTATCAAAAACAACTCTGACATTACCATCAAGAAATGAGTAATTTGTTCGGGATTTCTTCTAACAGGAGTTGGAATTGGATTTTGACCATTTTCAAAATCCCACGCGAGACCTCTTTCTTGAAGATTCTATGAAATTCTTTTTGGAATCATAACATTTGAATGAAGTGGATTGACTTCCACAAGAAGACTTTCATCTCTTGGAGAAGATCTAAGAGCACAAATATTGAGTTGAGTGTTCAAAAGTTTATAATATACTCTGTATATTAAAGCAAAGGGTTTTGAACGATCATCAATATCGAAATTTTGTTTGAATTCGTAAATTTAGAGCGTCAAGAATAGCTCCATCTTGAAGGCTAATTGGAAAACTTGGATAGCAATTGGAAAATACTGGACCACTCTCGAAATTAGACTCAAGCATGGACAGTAAAGAATGTTCAAATCTTAAGAGTCTTTTGTCTCTTAACGTTATCAGAACAGGAATGTCTAGACCAAGTCTAAAGAAAGGTTTAACAGCAATTTGAACCAATCCAATATGGATATATTGAAATTTCTTCCTATGAGCAAGGATAGAATCTTTTGAAAGTAAATTAATGGAAACAATTTGATTTTTGATATGAATAGTTTGTTCAAGAGTTTTGAAAACATAACTTTGAATAAAATCAAAATTTTCTATTTCATAGATAAAACTTTTATCTACCTTTGGAATAGTC